ACAAATGTATTTAAAAAGTAAATAAATTAAAAAAAAAAAAAAAAAAAACTTTATTGGAACAAATACTATTTTCTTTTATATCTGTTATTTGTTTTCCATCTAAGGTAAACAGGCTAATATTTTTCCAACTTATTTAGATAGGAAGTTACCTAAAAATTCTTGTCCAAGTCATAATTCTGAGGAATTCACAAAATAAGAGTGACTTATACTATATCCAAAACCTGTAACTTTTAAGGTTCAACTTTCAGATGAACCTTAAATATTTTCTAAATAATATTTTGTGAGTTTGCATTGACAATCTAGACTTTTTCACTTTAATTTCTGTCACTAAGTCACAATTTAAATGTAGTTAATCCTGCAACGATAGTCTTAAATTTTTGGTCAAAGTTTATGATAATTCTGTGAGGCCAATGGAGGGGTTTTCCAGGTAGGAAAATTTTGACATTTACAACTATATCCATATAAAATTGAAAGATTTCCCTCATGTATGGGGAAGGCCCCTCTGATCTCAAGGTCAGCAGACTCACTGTGAAATGCAGTCAGTGATGGCAACAGCACTGGTTGCCTGAAGTCCTGAACTGTGTGCTCTGCTCTGCTTCTGCCTTGCTGTGTGACCCGATCCCTCCATCCCTTCATCTCTCTGTGCCTGAGTTTCCTCATCTGCAACATTGGAATAATTACATGTCACCTACTTACTGTACAGGAGTACCAATATAAAGTCTTTAAAAGCACTGCAAAAGGTTGGGGTGGTACAAGACTTAAGACACTTACAATGTTCTTTTGTAAATCAGCAATGTTAAAGATTTCTGTTTGTTTATAAACCTGTAAAAGGCTGTGTATTAAATTTTCTCAAATTTTATACAAAAACTTTAAATTACCTAGATTATCTTAATTAATTATCTACAAATGCTTTCAGGGATTGGAATAGGAGTTTCTTTCTCTATATTATTTCTTTCTTTCAGACCTTCTTACAAGCAATGTTCTTTAAAACGGTGAACAATGAGAAATTAGAATCCCATTAGGAATTTACGTAATTCCAAACCTATTTGTCATCTTTATCTTAAACCTTAGAAGAAATAATTTTCAAAATATAAACCTGAAAATTGAACTATTTTTAATAGATTTTAGCCTTTATAATTGCTTAATTATACATTTCACAGCCTTCATTTTTGTACAACTGTGCATATATCCATCTATATTCTATATTACTTATATAGCCTAAGGTTTCGTTTTCTACAACAGTACTTAAGAATTTTTGGAAAATAAAATGTGCTATAATTTTCTATATCATTAATACTATTAATATAAAATTAAATTCAAAAGGCTCCTTTCTAGTATTGTTTAACATTGTGTTTTAAAAAAGTCAATTTAATTTAACAAATACAAATAGTTTACTAAGTGCTAGTCATTATACTAGGGACTCAGAATATAAAAAGATGGTCCTGTCCTCAGAAAGTTTATAATCTACTACAAGACAGCAGTATTTAAGTTTTTAAGTTTAAGTTTTTATTAAAACAGTTTTATGTTGTGTATTACTAAACACTTGGGCAAGTCCATTAACTCTTATACTAAGACTACATTATTAAACTACTACACAGCAATAACTTACTTCTAGGAGTTACATATACATATGTACAGGAGAGAATAGAGCTCGATGCATTTGAATTTACTGTAACTTTGCAATTAAAAAATGTAGAGGAAATTTCCATTTTTCTTCAAATATTGATCTTGGGATAGAATAGATTATTCATTATCTTTCACTTTTTAATCAACAATCTGTATGTGCAAGATGAACAGGCAAGCTACAGGTGCAGACTGATATCTTTATGTGGCAGAAAGGGATACAAAAAACTGAAATGTGCATGTACTAGCAGCTGTCTCTAACTGACTGATAGCCTAGAAAAAGAACACACCTTGTCAAAGGTACTATGATTTCTTTTTCTAACAAACAGAAAACAAAGAAGATTAACATTCCATAAGTAATAAATGTTTCATAGGATAAAGTATGGCATGGAGACCAAAAAGCTGAGAAATACTTTCCAAAGCAAAGGAAAAGGATAAAATGGCATTCACATTCTCAGTCTACTAAGTAGAGTTATTACAGTGAGTCCCAGGGGAACACTTAACTTTATTGACAAATTCATTTGTAAAGCCTTTTCTAAAAAAATCTAAATTACACCAATATCTATTTCTCATTTTTATTCATACTATTAGATAGCTGATCATATTGCCTGATAAAAAATGTTGAGCCATATATTATTTGAGTTCTTACTGTTGTAAGAATTGGTCAGAAATAAAACAATTGCAATGAAACCAGCCAACAACCATCAGTGAAACATGCTAACTCAATCATATAAAAGAATTAAAATGCATAGAAGTGAGCTGGTTATTACTTATGAAAACAATCGTATGTAAAGGAATACAAATAATTTTACAGTTCTGATTAAGACACTGGATTTTGAAATGTAAGATAAAATTTTCCTGGATATTTGCCATCCACAGGAACATTTCTCTATTGTTACTTCTTAAGAGTTATCTACACTAATTTTTAAAGTACTGCAACGACAATATCTAAATTCTTATGTATTTTCGCTCACTTTTTAAGCATTTATTATAAATTCAACGTAGCTTTACTTTAGTAACTAGTATTATACAACTCACCACTTTTGCATCAATTGCAACCTGAGCGAAGCCTTTACGATTACCCCATACGATGTTGTAGGTTTCATCACTAAGTAGGGCTTCCCGAACTCCACCTGGTGAAATAGCTAACAAGTGACCACTCCTCAGAATTTCAACACATTTTTCTCTTGGTCCATGTAGAGCACAAAATACATCAAGTAATAAACTAAACCCTGTAAGAAATATTAGCATGAATACACATCTTAAGTACTTCTTGTCCAATTCTTCAAGAGCAAACATCTTCACAACCTACATAATTTACTATCTATACTTAAATTGGTAAAATCTTTTTTACTTTTTATAATCAACAAGAACTCTCAAGGTTAACATAAGATTAATATTGCTGGTAAAGTAATAGCTATGTCTTATTGATCACCAACTACTGATCACCTTCTTAGTGATCATCTACTACTCTGGCTGCTTTACATATTCAAAGTCTTAATTAAAACTCACAAAAACCTTGGAAAACAGGGATTCTTATACTAATTTTACAGTTGAAGACAAGTGAGTAGCTTGCTCAAAGTCATACAGCAAGCAAATGGCAAAGCAGAGATTCTGGTCCAGGCGTTACCTAACTAAAAGTTCCTTCCACTGCATCTCATGGCTAAACACTGTCTACAGTATTTATTAGAGCAATAGAAATGATATCTCATCAGCAATTACAAATTCAATCTTCCATTAACCCTGTAAGAAAGAAAAACCACTTAAGAGAGTGTGAATCTGACTATGCTTAAACTTAGCCTTACCAAAATTGGCAAGCCATAATCAAGTCTACCTGAAAGTAAATGTTAGATGCTAATTCCACAATTACATTTTTATGTCAACAATAGCAAAATCACTGAGTTTCCAATAAAGTGAGTGTTTGACTCAGGGAGAGCTAATTCCAGGTCTTAATATTATACAAATTTTCAAATGACAACTATTTATAGATGAAAAAATAATTCTATCAAGCAATTAAATATTTTAAGCAAATCCTAAACTGAAACTTTAGAGGACTAATGATAGTATATGTTATTCCTCGAGACCGTGAAAGGGAAATGGGTAGTGAAAACTGTGCAGACTAACCAATCTTCTAATAAGTTTTAAGGACCTGAAACAAGATTATAAATATTATTAAGATTGAAATAATTTTTACCCTGCATTAAATTAAAAGCCCATTCATTTAATAAGATGCATTCTCGTCATAAATGAATGAACAGGGGAGGTTTCCTGAATTATAAGATCATAAATGGGAAAAATTTTTTAGAAGCCAGAGGCCAAATAAAAATATTCATATTCTATTATGTATAAAAAGAAAAAAATGGAAGCACCCTAATGTTCCATAAGAGAAAACTAGGTAAGTAAATATTTTAGTCATCCATTAAAAGTATTTTGTTTTTAAAAAAATTTTTTTAAAAGTATTCTTCATTAAAATATGGTAAAATGTTAATGCTAACATTACATATTTTTGAAAAATAACAAAATAGTTTGCATACATGCATATATGGGTTAAAAATGAAATAAAATAAATCAAAAGGCTAATTGGTTATGTTAGGGTGGCAAGATTATAATGTTCTTTTTTTTCTCTAGTTTTAAAATTTTATGGTACAGTGATCATATTACTTTCTAAAGAAAAACCTTTTATAGCCTATTTAATTTATATACAAAGTACAAATGACTTTTTAGTGACATAAGGATACACAAAACATTAACCATGTCTATAAAAGGCACTGAGTAGGTTGTTATTTAATTCACTGCTTGGTATTTGTCTGTGTGGTTTATTATTCCAGAGAACATATTATAAACTTTTGGCTTGCTTCTGGTGTTCTAGTGACAAAAAAAAAAAAATTTAACCTCAATGAGTTTATTTTACAATGATTAAAAAACAACTATTATGTTTGAAACCATTTAGCTAATTAATCTCTTTAAAAAGGTACAAAGTCTTTATGAACAGATTAAAAAGAACATGGTCCTAAATCTTAAGAGTTTTAAGTCTAGTAGGCAAGTCAACAAGTATGATTAAAAAAAAAAACCAATACCAAAATATAAATTATTTGGCAAAAGTGTTAGCTTACTTTTTAAAAGTGAAAATTCAGGATTTAACTTTGAAAAATAATGACTAAATACCTGTTAATAAAGAAAGAGATTAGATAACTTTTTGGCCATGTTTTTATAATTAGATAATTATCCTGTTTAGGTACTAAAGCTTAATTATATGCTCCCAAATTGTAGTTCCAAGTGTGTTACTAAAAGGCAAAAAATTTTTCCAACTGATACTAGAGAGCTCAAAGATATAGATTATCACACAATTTGACTGTATTAATTAACATTTTTATAACACTATCTACAGTGAAAGTTTACCTGGAATTTTAAAGACAAAGTGATCAGCTACTACTCGGCAAGTTCTGCCTTTCTGGATAAAAATTTTAGCCATGAAGTAGTAAAAATCTATGGGAATAGCTCCATGATAAAAAATTATAAGAGCTGGTCCTTCTGGTATTTTTTCCAGTCCATGAACTTCATAACCTGTTAGGAAGACAAAAGACAAATACTTAAAATATATTTATTAGTTATTTAAACTAAAGGATGGTTACCAACTCAGAAACTCAGTCTTCTCTTACCAAAGTTCATAAGACTTCCTCTTTACCTTCCTTCCCTTCTTGAACAAATTAGTCCTATAGGCATTAGGTGGGCCAGACTGAAACAGGCACCTGTGTGCAGGGGTGACCTACAGTGAGTGTGAGAGCCCAGGCTGGGTGAGGTCAGCATCCATACAGGGGGTCCAGAGTGGGGAGTTAAAGTGCAAGTACAGTCATGAGAGCATCCACACAGAAGAGCCTAGAACAGGGTGCTGGTGCCTGAGTGGGAAAAGGAGAGGAGCCAAGGGTAGGGGGGTCAGATCGTGAGTGAAATGAGAATGGCATCCAGACTTGTAAGTGGCCTGGTTCTGGGTGTGATGGCCGGAGTGGGGAAAGATGGTGTCCGTTTGTAGTAGAGGACAGTGACAGTGGTGGCAGGTTGGTTACATACAGGGGAAATTGACCAAATATGTCTACATGGTAAGGAAAATGTGAGCCAGGTTTCTCACTGTTGGAGAAGGTGGTTACAAATGCATAAGAAAATCTGAATAAATTCAGTAGTTGTAAGAGAGCCTCACTTCCACCCTAAGAATGACAAAAGGCAGCATGTCAGGAAACTGAGGTCACTCTCTTAATCAGGTGAACTGAGCTTTAAAGAGTGACAAGCCTATCTAATGAGATTTAAAAAACTGAGTATGGGAAGAGGTGGTAGGTGCTATAAAAGTGGATAAGAAAAATACAACTGCAATGTTAATGAATACTTACAAGCCAAGTGTGGGCAAGCATTGAGTGTAGAATCCAGGACACCCCAGATACAAACAAGTATCCACACTCACCAGCATTCCTCCACAGGCCTCAGGGGATGCTCTCAAAAATAAGTCAGGGCAAGGCAGGCAAGAGACCTAAGAGAGCCCCCTGCTAATGGTACAGACACCAAAACTGCACTCGCTTCCTGTAAACTTCTCTTGTAAAAGAAAAACCTGACCCTGGGAGAGGTGCAGGAAACCCTGCCACCCCTTCTAAAGAAGGGATATGTGCAAAAGGCATCTGATGCTGGAACGGACAGATCGTCACCTCCCGCCTCCTTTCTCCTGCCTTGCCCCACCGTCCTAGTCTCAGGCAAAAATTCACTATGACTGGGGAAGGGCAGAAGCCAAAGCATCTGCCACTGGAAGGTATAGGGTAGTCAGGGCCAGGGTTCTGAAGTGACATAATGCAGAGATCTGCTACCACCGGAAGGAAGGGCAGAAAACTTGCTATGAAACTCACACTCCTACCAACAAAAGACAAAGTTTGCTTGCCACAGAAAAGTGAAAGGAACACTGAAAAAGCATCACACTTGACCCCCTAGCATATAGGGCCTGTGGAAGATTTTTGGCTAAAACAGAAATATCAAGGAGTGACCACACCATGCTCATCAAGCCCCACATGGAGTTGTAAGCAAAGGCAACCTTTTCCTGGGGAAGAGGCAGGAGCATGGAGAGAGAGCCCTTCTGTGTGGCACAGGCATACAGGATTGAGGGGCAGCAGGAGCACTGAGTAAAGCCCTCTGGCACTCCAGGCTCTATACATGCACAAGGTAGCAGCAGTAGGAGTCTGAAGTCTGTGTTAAACTGAAGGTAACTATGCCTTCAACAAAACCCAACCCTAGTTCAACTACTGACTAGACATCCCCCAACCCCACTCACTAATGGCCTGACAGAAAAAGGACAATTTTCAGTGACAAGTGTTTACTATTATCTCATTCATGACCATTATTTATCTATATATTTATTTTTACAAACAATGCCCAGAATTCTTTTTAAAAATTGTGGAACAAAGCCCTGGCCAGTGTGGCTCACGTGGTTGGAGCATCATCCCACACACCAAAAAGTTGCATGGTCAATCCCCAGTCATGGCACACACCTAGGTCCAATCCCCGGTCACGCTGTTTGCCAACCAAATGATGTTTCTCCCTTACATTGATGTTTTTCTCTCTGTCTCTCTGTTTCTGTTTCTTGTCTCCATCTCTCTCTCTCTCTATCCCTTTCTCTCTCTCTACAATCAATAAATGTATCTTTGGGGGAGAATTAAAAAAAAATTGTGGGACATAGAAAATGGTAAGAAAAATATCCATTGTCAGGAGATTGTTTATTCAAGAGAACCAGGCCCAAATGTCTAAATTATAAGAAAGTAACTTTAAAATGATTATGGTTAATATGTTAAAGGATCCAGTGGAAAAAGTGGACAACTAATTGGATTAGAAATGTTAGCATATAGAAGGAAAATATATAAAAACAAGAGTCAAATAAGAAGGCTATATACTTGAATGAGATCTAAAGATTAGATGTTAGTAATATATCAATGTTAATTTCATGATTTTAATGGTTTTATTGATGTTAAATAGAACATCTTTGTTTATAGAAAATATACACTAAAAGTGTCAAAGAGAGGGCAATGTAGGCACTTACAGTCAAATAATTAAAGAAAATGAGTTCTTTGTGCAATACTGGTGATACTAATTTTTTTAAAGGCTATGAATTAAAAAAACATTATCTTTTGTGGAAAAATCATGTAAGATTAGAAAATCATAGGAGCTATAAGGTAAAAAGAGCTTTCTGGTTCCAACCTAACAAACAATTATCAGAATTTAAGACTATTTTTGGTTGTTAATCAAGGTTATCCAAAGAGTCAAACATCTCTGAAGCACCAAGCACACTTTATTGAATCTGCTGGCTTCTAAAAAACAATCTGGACCTTTCTTTGTAAGTTTAACATATAGCAGTTATAAAGGAGTACACAGGATTCTACTCATTACAAGCAGGTTGTGAAAGGGATAAGGAAATGAGTTAAAGGGGAATGGGTGAAAAGGGCCAGGGTTAGGAGACATCAAATAAATTAAAATTCCCTATGAGAGAAAACACAACCTAGAGTAAAATTTAACAGAGTCATAAAATAATTCATTGATAAAAGTAGGAAAACTTAACAGTGACCCAATGGAAAATAAAACACCAATAAACTGTTATACACATGTGGATAACCTAATGATGCTTTAATTTTTTTAATGTTTATTTCATTCACAAATTATTCTTTAGAAATTCACTCCCCCCATTTTATTCTTTAAAAACAAAAATAAGGTTATTGAATCTAATTACTACATTGAGGGGAAAAACTGTGATCAGAGATTTGAACTGGATGTCAAAAAAACATCTCTCCAGCGATACAGGTAAAATTAGAGACTCATGTCATTCTTTCTCTTTTCTTCCTGCCATACTGTAAACCCTATTCCAAGTCACTGTAAACAGGAACAAGGGTTTCAGCAAGGGGATAAATGACAGAATGAAAAACGTGGTAGATAGGAGGAGGGGAATTAGGCTTTCTTCTAACCTAACCTCAGTTCAAGGTTGGCTTCCTGGCAGTACCTTTTTCTCCTCTGCCAGCTAAAGAAATTAATCTGCTTACTGTCCTTCACACTGCTAGCAAATACCAATACATTTTTTAGAGCAATTCTGTGCTGTTGGTGGACTGCGGGGCATATAAAAGATTTAAGTAAGCTCCATTTATGTTTCAGAGGAAAATACTCGAGTATTTTATCACAGGAGTTGGGAACTGATACTCCACGGAGCAGGAGAAATGTGATCAATGGCTCTAGTCATAAAATCTGCTTTTCCTCCCCATCTCACCAGTCAGGTCGCAGCCTCAGCTGGTCCCGGTGAAAAAACAAAAATAAAAACAAAACAAACAAACAATAAACACATACTGAACAACCAATGAATCAATAAAGAAATCAAAAGAGAAATTTAAAAAAATACCTTAAGACAAATGAAAATGGAAATGCAACATATCAAAACTTAACAGGATGTGGCAAAAGCAGATCTAAGAAGGAAATTTTAGCAATAAATGCCTACCACAACAAAACAAGAAAAGTTTCAAATAAACCACCTAACTTTATACCTCAAGGAACTATAGACTGATTACTAGCAAGGAGATAAAACCTGTAATAAAAACCTCCCAACGAACAAAAGTTCAGGACCAGGTGGCTTCACTGACAAATTCTACCAAACATTCACAGAAGAATTAATACCAATTTTTCTCAAACATTTCCAAAGAAAGAAGAGGGAAAACACTTCAAAACTTGTTTTACAAGTCAGACATTACCCTGATACCAAAATCAAGCAAGAACACCACAAGAAAATTATAAGCCAATATCCTGAGAAACATAAATTAAAAAAATCTTCAACAATATATTAGCAAACCAAATTCAACAACAAACACCATGATCAAGTGGGATTCATTCCAGATACGCAAGGATGGTTCAACATTCAAAAATCAATCAACATGTTAAATTACATTACCAAAATGAAGAGTAAAATCATATGATCATCTCTAGAGATGATGAAAAAAAATTCGACAAAATCCAACATCCATTTATGTCAAAAACTCTCAACAAAGTGAGTATGGAGGGAATGTACCTCAACATAATAAAGACAATATATGACAAGCCCACAGCAAACATACTCAATGGTGAAACACTGAAAGCTCTTCCTCTAAAATCAGGAACAAAACAAGAATGTCCACTCTCACTACTTTTATTCAATATAACATTGGAAGTCCTAGCCAGAGCAATAAGGCAAGGAAAAGAAATAAAAGATGTCCAAATTGTAAAGAAAGGAGAAAACTGTCACAATTTGCAGATTATATTATATTGTATATAGAAAATCCTAAAGACTCCATCAAAAAAAAAAAAAACCCGTTGGAACTAATAAATTCAGTAAAGCTGCAGGCCTTTGCATAATATATTGATACAAAATCAATACGTTATACAAATATTTCTTGTATTTCTATATATTAGTAACAAACTATCAGAAAAAGAAATTAAGAAAAAAATCACACTTAAAATTGCATCGAAGAGAATAAAATACCCACGAATAAATTTAACCAAGGAGGTGAAAGACTGCACACTGAAAA